TTTTTCCTAGCAAAGTCTTCCTCTAGCTTTATGTAAAGACGTCAGTTCTAATTTCTTATCTTATACAGATCTAAATTCTTTTATTACCTTTCTCAGTTCCACTTTCAAGACTAAGAATCTGGGTTGCTTTTATCTGCATTATAGCTTCAGTCTCTCCTCACATTCTTGCATCTTTTTTGAATTAATTTTGGAATTGTTTTTTGTTTGTTTGTTTGTTTTGGTTTTGTTTTTGTTCCAATAGACTCCATGTCCAGCATAGAGCCCAATGTGGAGCTTGAACTCACAACCATGAGATAAGACCTGAGCCAATATCAAGATTTGGACACTCGAACCACTGGTGTCCTGGACTAATTCTTAAAATATTCCTCAGGATGGTCATTCAGTAATAAACTGTCTGTTATGTTGGCTTCGCTTCCTCCCATCTCCCTTTCAATTCTTGGGATTTGCTTTACGTTTTGCTGCCTCGGGACTCAGTTATATATTTAAAAGCATTTTATATTCCACTTCTTTCCACATCTAACATTTTTATAGTTTGAAAGTTGACTTATATATTTTTATAGAAAATAAAAACCCACTGTTTTTGCCAAACTAGAAGCAGCCTGTGTACATTTTTTGTAAATGTCTTATATCTCCTTTCTCAAGTTGTACATTCTTTCAAGCCTGGACACTGTCTTATTCTTCACTGTATCTCTCCTATCTTCCTGACCCCATTTCCAGTGTCTAACATAAATAGTGTTCGGTCTTTAAAAAAGAAAGATAAAACAGTGTGTCTACTTGAAGATGAATTTGTTCTGTCACTTTTGAATATTTTGCTGCTTGGAAGTCTCAGATTTTTAAATGCCTCATGAAAATTATTAGCAATATAATTCAATTAAAATTATCTGGTCTTTTTTTTTTTTCTATCTTGGGTCATATCCAAGCTCCATCATTTAATACTCATGGGATCTTGGGCAACTGAGTAAAGATTTTTAAAGCAAAAGTGGAGAAGAGCACAAGAGGGTGTTTTGGACATAATGAGACAATATATATATGAAAAACCTAGCACAGTGTTAGAACATTGGGATCTGCAAGGCATCTTTCCCTTCCTCAGAAAACCCAGTAAAGAGAACCCTGTTTGCTATCATTATCTATTTAATCCTTGTCCCTTTTGGTGCATGTAGAGATAAAAAAATGATAAAGAAATTATCAATTGAAAATAATTTTATTTTTTGGCAACAAAATATGGATTTGCCTTATAAAATATTCTGCTACTGGATTATATTGATTTACTTTCTGTGATTTCAGTTCATTTCTAGTCTAAATGATGAATATCACTTGAAACAGTATACGGTAATGTTATTTTTAGTAGGCAGTAACAGTTAATAAAGGAGTTTCCCACCTGAAATGGGGGCACTAAACAGCTATGACAGCAACAAAATATGTAATTTTTTTTCTTAATGGAAAACAGTGAACATATAGAATGTTATGGAACCTGAATTCAGAATCAGGATATAAAAGAAATGTTTCAGGGTTTGCATGTCTCTTTGCACTGTTGCTTCCCTTCCCTCTTCCCTGCTTGTCTTCTTTCTCTTCCTCCTTCTTTATTCCTCTCTTTATTTTTGACTCTCTCCCTTCTTTCCTTCTTTTCTCCCTCCTTCCCACTCTCCCTCCCTTCTTCCCTCCCTCCCTCTTTTTCTTCCTTCCTACATTCCTACCTTCCTTCCCTCCTTCCATAATTGCAGGCCTGTACCTCTCTCTCCCCTTGGGAAATGGAAAAGCAACATTAAACACAAGAATTATATATCTTTCATATAGTGGTATTTCAAAATTTCACATCTTTATCACATTTATTTATATGTACTTCGCAAAATTCAAAATGATTGTAAATATCTCATTAATTCCATTCAGTTAGCAATTTTTTAAAAAAGATTTTATTTATTTATTTGACGGACAGAGATCACAAGTAGACAGAGAGGCAGGCAGAGAGAGAGGAGGAAGCAGGCTCCCTGCCGAGCAGAGAGCCCGATGCGGGGCTCGATCCCAGGACCCTGAGATCATGACCTGAGCTGAAGGCAGAGACTTTAACCCACTGAGCCACCCAGGCGCCCCTCAGTTAGCAATTATTATTGAGTAACTACTATCTGCCAGGAACTGTACTAGTAACTGGGGATACAACAGTGAAAAAGTCACCATCCTGCTTTATTCTTACAGACCAGTGGAGGCACCACTGAAGTAAACAATGACCATTCCAGAGCCGTAGGTACTAAGATGACTGGGAACAGAAAGTCCCTTAAATTGAAAAATAAAGAAAAATTAGTGTTAATTTTCTTACTGGTGATTGGAGTGGGGAAGAGATTTCAGATCTGAAGTCAAAAGATGGCATGATCAGAAAACTGCCCGCCCAGTAATTCAGTAATAGTGTGAGGGAGGGTGTAACAATGAACCTGGAAAGTTAAGCTGTGTTTGTAAATCATGCTAAGGAATATGACAGTTATACTAATTTCAGAGGAACTTACATAGGAAGACATTTGTGCTTTAAGATGATGACTGACTGAAGGATGGGAAATGAGTGTGGGTAGCCACAAAATCTGGTTTGGGGTGTTGCTGAGATGAGAATTGATAGTCTTTGACTGAAATATAGAATGTGGAAGACTGGATGATTGCTAGGTAGAGGGGGTGAGAGCAGTCCAAGAACATTGTATAGTTTCCCGGCGTGGGATGGAAGAAGGTGGCCTTCATTGAAACATGAGCTGGTTAGGTGGGTGGGGGAAGGGTAGGAGAGTTTAGTTTTGGAGATTTAGGTTGTCCGTCTATGTGGGCTGTGTGTGTGTGTGTGTGTGTGTGCGTACGCGTGCTCAGAAAGAGGACTTACAGTATAGATTTGAGGAACATAGCCTATCAGGACTTCACATATGGCTTTGGGGCAAGATATAAATGATACTCAGAATCATGAGAGTGAAGAAAAAGCCTAGGGAAAAAAAAGTATAATCTGAGCAGAGAGAAAGATTAACATGGAACTATGAGGATAATCAACATTTAAAAGACACATAAAGAAGAGAAGTAGGTTAGGTATTGATTAATATTCATTTATAAAATAGAAGTAAGGAGAAGAAATATTTTTGAAATTGGAGTACAGAGCGCAGAGCAATGAAATGCCAGATTACGTGGAGGGCTCAATGACTGGGCAAAATTATGGATTTTCCTCCCGGGATCCTGAATGCCCATACTTTCTTTTTTTATATTTTTTGGTAATTTTTTTTTCAGTGTTCCAAGATTCATTGTTTATGCACCACATTCAGTGCTCCATGCAATACGTGTCCTCCTTAATACCCACCACCAGGCTCACCCGACCGCCATCCCCCTCCCTTCCAAAACCTCAGAGTCCACAGTCTTTCATGGTTTGTCTCCCCCTCCGATTTCCCCCAACTTAATTCTCCTCTTCATCTCCCAATGTCCTCCATGTTATTCCTTATGCTCCACAAGTAAGTGAAACCATATGATAATTGACTCTCTCTGACTTATTTCAGTCAGCCTAACCTCCTCCAGTCCCATCCATGTTGATACAAAAGTTGCTAAATGCCCATACTTTAAACCCATATATACAGAGGTTTATATATATATAGTTATATATAATATTTCTATTATTATATATTATTATATATATTTTATATGTATATAGTCTTTTTTTCTAGAATATGGGGAAAATATTACTTTCCTAATATTTTTATGAAATGTTCGGAGGCATTCCTAACCCTGATCTATGGTCTTGTTTTTCACTCTACCTTCCCCAGTTGCTTCGTATAGTCTCATGGGGTGTCTTGTTTCTTGCTATTTCATTGCATAAATGAAAAGAATGTAGTTGAAAAAGAACTCTGATATGCCTTTAATAAATCACATATAAAAGAATATTTTGAATATTCAACTTCATATAATTTCTATGATTATGCAGCTTCATAGAATTTTATTATGAATACATCAGTGTGTCCTAAACTTCAGTATACTGTTCATTTTGAATATGCATTCTGAAATTATGTTTCAGTTGTAGAAGCAAATTAAGATGAATTGACAAGAGGATCGGTGTGCTATAGAAGAGAGAACGCTGCCCTCGGCAGTAATAGGAAATTTGAATTCTAGTTCCTAATACCTCATTGCTGTATTTTCTCATAAATACCCTTAACTTCTTTGGGCCCAAGTAATGTGATTTGTAAAACAATGACCTCCAATGTCGCTTCAACTTTTAAAACCGTAGTTCTTGGGCAGCAGGGTGGCTCAGTCAGTTAATCGTCTATCTTTGGCTGAGATCATGATCCCAGGGTCCTGGGACTGAGTCCCATGAACAGGGTTCCTGCTGAGCAGGTAGTCTGCTTATCCAAATTACTCTGCCCCCTCCCCCCCATCTCCCATTCATTCTTGTTCTCTCTCTCTCTCTGAAATAAAGTCTTAAAAAAGCCTATGATACTCAATTTATCTAAACAAGCAATACAAGGTTTCTATTCGATAACTAAGGCTACACATTTTGAGCTCACAGAGAAATTCTAATAATTGGGCCTGAAATATTTGAATAAGTTTTAGCTGCCACAATGATGTTCTAAATTACATGAATGTGATTATGTGAGCATAGGAATTAATACAGAACATTGCTACGTTACTTAGTACTTTACTGTGGTCTTCCGCAGCCTCCTGCCCCATTTATGTGCCTGCCCTTTGTTTCTTAAAATTTTCTTTCAGGAGATAGCATGATCATAAAGGCTCACATTGTTTAAATATGGTATACACAGGGCAATAAATATCCACATCTAGCTAGATACAGAAATGGTGCAATTGCTCAAGTTAAATATTTCCTAAGGACACTCCTCTGAAAGAGTAAATGAATTGCTCTGGGAGTCATTTGTTACAGTTGCAAGAGTATCAGATGGTAAGAGACAGTCATGGAAAAGAAAGAGTAGAGAAAAGAGAAAGGATGTTTCTAATTATGGCTTCACCTATTATAACCTCCTGATCTCCCAGAGACCTATCAAGACATGCTCTTCTTCTTGGCCAAAATGTTAGCATTCCCAAGGAATGAAGAATTTTGTTTCCTTTGGATTGCTTGTGTTTTCATCTCTGCATGGGTTCAGCAAGGAACGGAAGCCTTTCGGTGTGGCAATGGATTGTCCTTGCCTCCTGACAATGTGTGTGACTTCACGGATCAGTGTGGGGACAAGAGTGATGAACAGCAATGTAAGTGCCTTTCTTCTCCTTTGCCCAGTTTCGATTCCCTGGACACCTTCAAACCAGGGGCCGACAGGCAGCCCAGGGAGATTTGACTAGGTACCTGGCCCTAGTTTCATTTATAAGCCTTTAGTGTTAATCAGAAACTAAAATATACTTTTCAATAAGGAGGTGGGTTCATAGACCAAAATTCCTCTCATGAAACTATATCAAATTGCTAAGCTTCTAACTGAAGGGTATGTATTCTAAACGAGTTTTTACTGACTATAAAGAAGGAAGTGATAGGCAGTCATGTAGCTTTTAATGTATCAGGGAAACAAAATTCAAAAGAAGCTCATGACTGAAGCTTTAAAATGCTGTGATGGAAATGATGAGCCTAAATCTGGCTTCAAGATGGAAATGTTTGAAACGACTTTTAGGCTGCATGAGTAGATTTGATTTTTGCTTATAGGACACTACCTCCCAGTGAGTTGGTACTAACTGCACACAGAGTACAGCATGGGCTTGAATCCTTTGATTCCGGGGTGCTGGAAACAGCTTAGGAGAGTGCAGGACCTAGATTTGGATCCTGCATAAACTATGTATTTTTTGTGTGATCTTGACCCTCTATCTCATTACAAGAGGTTGTAAAGTGAGATAAATTGACTTTCAGCAGTAGGAAAATGCTCCACTGCTAACTGGTATCATGTGAAAAAGGAAACTTCACCAAGGCAAGATATGGATAAAGACATGTGTGTTTCTGTCGTTTTCTCTTGCAATCCAACATCCTGAAGGAATACTGCATTTCACTAGTAGAATGAGGGTGATCACCTTTCACAGACAACATTTTCGTACAATTAAGTGAGTTCATTGTTGGTTCGTAGTAACTGCTGGTTCAGTTATTGGGAGGCACTAATTCTAGTAGTTTAGAGTACCTCAAACATATTTTCTAGTTTTTATTCAGATGCTATATTAATTCATGTTTATGGAATTTTTCACTTTCTTCTACTAAAATAAATTTCTACATGTTCAGTTTTGCTATTGTTGCTAGGTTTCCATATCTTCATTTTTACTATTGTTGTTTAGTTTCTATATATTCAGTTTTGCTATTGTTGGACTTCTACTTACGTAGTCAGTTGTCGTTGGAGTAGAACAAGAACAGTGAATAGTGAAAAATCTCTTCTCTGCAGAAGAAAACAAGCTATTGATTTGTTTCCCATAGTTTGGGACAGCGATCATGCCTTTAGTAACTGTTAAATACAAAATGCCAGCGAAGACAGATGTTCATTTATATTTGTCCAATTTGCCCAGAGAGGCTGAATGTGGGTGTGCTGCCCTTTCTCTGATCTGTCTGGGAAAACCTTTTCTCTTCTTTGGTGAGCAGCAAAGAGGAACCACTTGGCTGGTTTGACAAGAAGTGCAAAGTCCCTTCCCTTATTAATCTCTGTGAAGCTTCCTTTAGCACGCTTGCTGTGATAACATGCATGGTCCTGCTTCAGGGAAAAGGTTAATGTGAAAGAAGGGGAAAGCGGCTGAGTGCAAAAGGTCTGGGCTGCATGAAAAATTCTAATAACTCGCGGCCGTGGAGAGAAACGAAGGAACAGATGTGTCGAATAAACAGATTTCATTTTAAATGTTAGATTAGGAGATCACCTTTTGGCTTTTTCACTTTTCATTTTTGTTCCTGAGAACTTTCCACTTTGGTATTTTATTTAAAATTGGACTATAACCTTGTCGATAAAAACTGAGAATCACTATGAAGTGTGAGTTGCTTTTGTACACCACAGGAGGGGGAAAATATTGGGGAGGAATAATGATGGCGAGCGATTTTTCTCATAAAAAATTTGTGACGCTCAAACTTATAGATGAGACTTCTTTTTAAAAAAAAAGTTAACTTTTTAATGATGTTAAAATAGTCCCTTTTTGAAAAAAAAAATCAACCTGTGTCTCTTTTTAGCATCCAAATGGTGTGACCTTTAAAGAAATAGATTACTATGTTGACTTTTTGTAATGAAATTGGCCTAGTTGTAGTTGAATTTCAGATGCAATTGATTCTATTAATAAGTTTTTGAGAAATTTCTTATTTTACATGATGGACCTCCTTTTCAGAATACTTGAATCTTTTGTTTTAACTCAGATTTTTTTTAAAGATGAGAGTTTTAGAAAGGCAGTCTTCACAATGAAATAAATTCTACTTATATACAATATTGAACATTTAATATATAATGATTAAGGAAAATAATTTCTTAAGTATCACAACTGTTTGGTTCTTGTGTTGACAAGAACCCCTCTCCAATATAATTTACCGATATCCTGAGCCAGGGAAATAAATGTTGTAGTCCTGGGTATCTTTTTAAAAAATCATGTTCTAAACATTACATTGATCCCTATTGCCCATCATTCTCTTTGATTTATATTTGTTTATTTTAATATCGGAACCCTTATGTCAACTACAGAGAGAATCTAACTTCTCTCCTAGCAATTTCTCAAAATTATTTGATATACAAAGGCTTGACTGTTATATTTTTCCTTAACAGTAAAGAAAGGAGCCTTGCTTATATTGCAACCATTCAAAGTCAAATCAACCAGAAGATTATAAACTACTATTGATAAGTGTTGAGCTAGATCTCATGAAATGGATCCTCACTGTTGATGTGTCGCCGGAAAATAAATATTCTTAGATAATTACTTTTGCATACCTGAAGTCAGTATTAAAATTAACTGGTACATGCATTCACTTTTAGAGCTAACTGTGACTCAAATGAAAAAAATATATTCCGTTAATTGACATTTTTCTCTCCTATCTACCTGTCACACTTAAGAACTTTCCGTTTGGTCTAGTGTTTTTACAAGGAGATAGGAATCTACTTTTATACTTTGATTTGAAGGAATACATTATTTCTTTTGCAAACTTTTTGGATTTAAGAAGAAGAAATTTATTCAAAAGGTTTTTACTTCATATAAATCTAAATTTATATGTGAAAAATGTAAAAATTACCTTAGAGGTACAGTCTCAAAATTTGAGAGATGACAGTGTTTCATCAGGTGATGCTTAAGTACAAATGTTATTTCTTTAATAGGATGACATGTCAACTACTTTTAAAAAGTAGTTCATTTAAGGGACGCCTGGGTGTCTCAGTGGGTTAAGCCTCTGCCTTCAGCTCAGGTCATGATCTCAGGATCCTGGGATTGAGCCCCGCACCTGGCTCTCTGCTCAGCAGGAAGCCTATTTCCCCACCCCCCCACCCCTGCCTGCCTCTTTCCCTACTTATGATCTCTCTCTCTGTCAAACAAATAAATAAAATAAGACAAAAAAGTGGTTCATTTAAGTATGAAGTTAAAGAATTAATGAATGAAATGTGAGATTTCGTGTACAATGTTTATCTTACTACTATAATATATGCAAAATGTTTGACATATATTTTCATGAAACAACTAAAAATTCTAAGCAAAATGTGTTAGTTTGGGCTATTATAACAAATACCATAAACTGGGTGGCCTAAACAAAAAGAACATTTAATTATCATAGTTCTGGAGGGTGAGAAGTCTAGGATCAAAGTACTGGCAGATTTGGTGTTTGATGAGAGCCCTTCTCCTGATTTGCAGATAGCTGTTGGGTTTTGTTTTTTTTTTAAGTTTTATTTATTTATTTGAGAGAGAGAGAGAGAGCATACACATGTGCAGAAAAGGGGAGTTGAGGGACAGAGGGAGAGGAAGAGAGAATTTCCCAAAGGCCCCACCTCCAAATATCTTAACAGTGGGGATTAGAGATTTAACATATGAATTTTGAAGGGATGCAGATACTCAGTCCATAGCACAATAAAATTTAAAAAATCTAATAATAAATATATAGAGCCTAGCTGAAGAAAAATTATAAAAAAATTACTGATGTATGGAAAAAGACTCATGACAAGACTATTTCCTAATGGTGTGCTTCAATAGTGTAAATGTGTACATTTTTCACGTTCATGAAATCAATCCTGTTAAATTCTATACAGGATAAATTTTGGAATTTATCTGGAAATCTGGCAAAAGTGATTTGCAAGTTCATTCAGGAAAATGTGTGAGAATAGCTAGAACAGTGGAGAAGAAAATGATTAATAATGGGGAATAACTTTTATTAGTAGGTTTATAATGGGTATCATGTAAACTACTCCAACATTGTTAAAGTTCAAAATTAGAAAAGCATCTGATCACTAGAAATAATAATATTTCTACATATAAAAATATTAAGAAATATAATATCTATAATATATTAAAAAATAATGGTGGCATTCAAAGTCAGTTCATAGTACTTCCTATAGGTCATGCATTGTTGAGAAATTTCCATAGAGTATCTCATTTAATCTTCACCAAACATCAAAATAGTAAGAAATATTATTGTTCCCAATTTACAGCTTGGTAAAAAGAGGTTCACTGTCAAATAAATAAAGAATCTTTAAAAAAAAAAAAAAGGAGGCTCAGATTAAGTAAATAAAAATGCCAAAGGACACAGAGTTATTTAGTGGAGGAACTAGAATTCACAACCAGTTCTGTCTGATTCTGGAACCCTTAATTCTTTTTTTTTTTTTTTTAAGATTCTATTTATTTATTTGAGAGGGAGAGAGAAAGAGAGAGTGGGCACAGAAGCGGGAACTGGGGAGAAGCAGACTTCCCAGTGAGCAAAGAGCCCAATATGGGGCTTAGTCCCAGGAGCTGGAGATCATGACCTAAGCCAAAGGCATACACTTAATTGACTGAGCCACCCAGGTGCATCCTGGTACCCTTAATTCTAACCACATACAACACTAACTGTGTTTTTATTTGCAACCAATGAAGATGAGACAATTTTATGGAATAAATTTCTTATTTACTCCACACATCAAAATTTCCATAAGGTAAATGTTAAATGTAGAAGATAAAGCCATAGTCTTTATTATTCTTTTTTTTTTTAAAGATTTTTTATTTATTTATTTGACAGACAGAGATCACAAGTAGGCAGAGAGGCAGGCAGAGAGAGAGAGGGAGGTAGGCTCCCCGCTGAGCAGAGA